CTCACCAGGTCCTTACTTTTCTTATAAAACTTTATCTTCTGAGAGTGATGTAGCTCCATGATAGGAAAAAAGTTGCCCAACATAGTTGGGGCCCTGGGCTCAACCCCAGTTGCCTCAAAAACAAAAACAGCTGCTACCTCATATTTTGTTATTATTATTTTTTAAAATATTTTATTTACTTATTTGGTACAAGGTCTCACTACACAGCTCGGACTCATAGTGATCCTATGTCAGCCTCCCCGGTGCTGGGATTACAGGTGTGTACCACCATGCCTAGATTCAGGCATGGTGGCAGGGCATGCGGTACCAGCAATCAAACCAAGGTTCTTGCGCTTGCCAAGTAGGCACTTAGATTACTGAGCTGCCTCCCCGGCCATACCTCATATTATGTTTTTGCACATGGCATTTACCAAGGACTATGCTCCTTGATGGCAGAGGACAGTTTGGACTTTTACTTGTGTGTGTGTGCATATGTGCACACACATGTACTGGATACAGAACCCACAGCCTTCATACTAACCTACATCCCTAACCCTATTTTTTAAATTTTAAGTTAGAGCCAGGGGTATTGCTATGTAGGTCAGGGTAGCTTTGAATTCCATGATCGTCTTGCCTCAGGCTCCTACAAACTACAATCATCTGTGTGCATCACCAAGCCCGGCACTTATATGTTTTAAGACAAGGTTTCCCTAAATCAATAAATTATCCAGATTTGGCTCCAATTTGTGATCCACTGGCCTCAGCCTCCCTGAGTAAAAATCTTTACAAATACCTTTGCCTATATTAACTGTTTAATAAATAACTAGTGAACCTATGATTAAAATACTGTACCTAAAAATTAAAATACTGTACCTAGCTGGGCATGGTGGTACATGCCTGTGATCCCAGCACTCTGAAGAATGATGCAGGAGGACTGTGAGTTCAAGGCCAGCTTGGACTACACAGTGGTCCCTGTCTCAAAAACATAAAATACTGTACTTTGCTTAACACCTTCCCACTGTTTTGAACCACCAGGCTTTTTGCTAATAAAAATAACTTAAAAGCTGCCTAATGAGACAGTCATGCATGTGCCACCATGTTTCACCTGGCACCAAGACATAAAAATTACATTTTTCATTTCTATCGTGTAGATTTCTTCCCAATCCGATTAAACGCTAGCCTACTATTTGCAACCCACACTTCCAATGCCAGAGAGGTCCTTCTGATTAATTTGCCTCGCCACAGGTTTCTTTATGTCTGGAAACTGTTAGGGTTGATGGTCTCTAGATAAAGTCAATCCACCAATGAGTCCTGCACCAAAACAGTATAGAATCCTGGACTGCTGCTGGAATACGTGAGCCGCGTGGTTTCACAGAACGACGGCTACCGTCAACGTGGTAACAGACAACACGCCACGCCACTAACTAGTCCTCTGGGCTTCTTCACGAGCTGCCCTGGCCAACCACATCGCGTTCTGGGCGCTGAGCGATGGCGAGGGCAGCCACGTCCCTCTGCCCTGAGGCCCGGACATCTTCCCAGAGCCCGCGTGCCCGGCTTCCTCCTCCCGGAGACACCCCAGCACTCGGGGGCGTGGCTCTCGCCTACCCACGCGCCTCTTCGCTCCCTACAGACTCTGCCAGCTTCCCCACAGACCCTCCCCTCCGAGTGGCCACGTAACGTGCGGAAGGGCCCAGACACCCACTCCCAGCCTCGCACCGACTTCAGACTCAGCCAGGTGCCCCTGGGACGCTCTCGGCCCCTCACCTGCTCGGCCGACACCGCCCCCTTCCCCGCGCCGCTCCCGCTGCTCTTGCCGGGGCGACCACTGTTCTCCGCCATCTTCGCCGCCTGACAGGCTTCCGGCCTGCGCAGCGCCGCTCATACGTCACGTCCGGTGTAGGAGTTACCGCCCCCTCGCCTCGGTGCCGCTGGCTCCAGGCAGCTGTTCGGATCGGATCGTGTGGATGGTTTTGGCCGTGTTTTCATGTAGGACCTACTCCCTACCCCACCTGCTGCGGTGAATTCCATCTGCTGTGCTTTAACTTGTGTAACAGAAATTCCTGCCCCACGGAGAGGCGGGGAAAGCAGGCTACCCGGAGGGTGGGGACTCGGGCTGGGGTCCGGTCTTGTACCCCCTGCCCACCTTGCGGTGGTAAGGGGCGTGGGTGAACTTCCCCGCGGAAGTCTAGTGTAAGGGGAGAAACATGCTTTGTGTCAGTAAAATGCGTGGGCACAATCGAGAGCGTGACTTGAGAAACCTAAGGTTTCCCCGAGGTGACTTTTGGACTGCGGAAACGTTTGGCAGAAGGGCTGCACTTTGAGATCCCTGGAAAATGTTCAGGATCATAGTCCGCTCCTGTATCTTCTTACCTTAGGAACTGTTCTCATAGCCCGTTCTTACAGTAAAAAGTGTTTGAAGACTTGGGAGTGCCTGGCAGGGCCCTGATTCAGAGTCACAACACGAAAGGAGATATCAGAGAACCCTAGAAATGTATTGCATAAAGGGTATTTGATGTCCTGATTTCTCACCTTCCTCAGGCTGGGCTTCCTCACCAAACAGCCCCTGTCCCTTCTGTGTTCTGGACTCCGGATACGTGGACTCTCAGTACTTTGTGCTCAGTCCAGGTAACGTGTTTTGTTTTGTCCTCAGTTCCTGCCACATAGTACATATTGTGTTAACTGGATGGTGGGAGGCGTCAGCCATCTACAGAACATTTGATAGATAAGCCCCACTGGCCCTGGGTTAGTATTTTTTAAGAGCATCGGCAGAAGGAAGGCCACTTTTCTCGTCTCATTTAAACCCGTCATTAAATTTGGGTTTCTCCATGCTAGGAAATCTGAGAATCCTGCCTATGCCATCCACAGGCCCAGAGCCATGGCTAGCTCCTCATCCTCCTGGGAACTGCCTCTAGTGGCTGTGTGCCAGGTAACATCAACACCAGACAAGCAACAGAACTTTAAAATGTGTGCTGAGCTGGTTCGAGAAGCTGCCCGACTCGGTGCTTGTCTGGCTTTCCTGCCTGAGGCATTTGACTTCATTGCACGGGACCCTGCTGAGACACTCCGCCTGTCCGAGCCATTGGGTGGGAACCTTTTGGAAGATTATACCCAGCTTGCCAGGTATCAGGGAACAGGGAGGAAGTAGAATCTATGTTGGTCTATGTCTCTGGATTGTCAGATGAGGGTAGAGTCTTAAGAAGAGTTGCCAGTGTCCCCTCCCCCTCAGGGAATGTGGACTCTGGCTGTCTTTGGGTGGTTTCCATGAGCGTGGCCAAGACTGGGAGCAGACTCAGAAAATCTACAATTGTCATGTGCTTCTGAACAGCAAGGGTGAGACTTCATTACCCTTCAGCCTGTCTCTTCCTAGGCTTTTCTACCTAAACCCAGATTCTTCAGAATTTTCATTCCTCTATTTCCTGGGCCCAAGGTTTTAAGGGTGCCTGCACTTTTGTTCTTGGAGTATAAACTATCTCCTCCTTACAAGGAAGAATAGCTAAACTCGGCTTCTAAAGCACCAGCAATGAGTATTTCTTCTCCCTCTCCCTAGGATCAGTAGTAGCCACTTACAGGAAGACACATCTGTGTGATGTAGAGATCCCAGGGCAGGGACCTATGCGTGAAAGCAACTCTACCATACCTGGGCCCAGTCTTGAATCACCAGTCAGCACCCCAGCAGGCAAGGTAGGAGTTGTGAGAATGAAGGTGGGAGCAGCAGAGGGAGGGGAGTACACTGAAGCAGTTACAGAAGATAGTAAGGAGTGGGATCACGGACATACTAGATGCTGTAACAAACAGGACAAGGATGCTGAGTATGCTACTTTTCATTTCAGATTGGCCTGGCTATCTGCTATGATATGCGGTTCCCTGAACTCTCTCTGGCATTGGCTCAAGCTGGAGCAGAAATACTAACCTATCCTTCAGCCTTTGGATCTATTACAGGCCCAGCCCACTGGGAGGTAAGAGGACATCTCTTCAAAATGTAAGAACTTTCTCTTAGCTTCACTTGCTCCACACCCCTTGGTTTTACAAATTAAAAACTTGTCCGTATCCTACTTAGTGGGAAAATTCATTCCCCAGAGTAGTGTGGCTTTTATAATGTAGTAAGTCGTTAAATTATTCCTAGGCAACTATCTGAATGGTCACGAGTGCCCATTTCCTGTCACTTCCCTACTAGCTGCTCTATGTTGAGTGTGTTTTTCTCCTCAGGTGTTGCTGAGGGCCCGTGCCATTGAAACCCAGTGCTATGTAGTAGCGGCAGCACAGTGCGGACGCCACCATGAAAAGAGAGCAAGTTATGGCCACAGCATGGTGGTGGACCCCTGGGGAACAGTTGTGGCCCGCTGCTCTGAAGGGCCAGGCCTCTGCCTTGCTCGAATCAACCTCAACTACCTGCGACAGGTTCGCCAACATATGCCTGTATCCCAGCACCGCAGGCCTGATCTCTATGGCAACCTGGGTAACCCACTGCCTTAAGGTTTTTGACTCTGCAAGTTGAGATCCCCACTGTGAGGTAGTGCTGCTGTGATTTGTAGGCAGGACCCCAAGCACAGCTCCCCTTACTTGGGAAACCTTGAGTCTTGATGGAACACAAGCTCAACTTCTTGGAAAATGAGAAGGCTTTCACCTGAGCTCAGATTTCAGCTTCAGAAAAATGAAATTTTATATAGTCATTGTTTATTTCATGAAAACTGAAATTACGCTGAGGGCTGACCAGCACTAGCATTGAAAAAAAATATAATCATAAAGTCTGTGACTGGACATCTCCTTTGGGAGCTGGATGGGGAGGTGGTATTGTACCTACTAAACTAGGCTCCAGTTCTAGGCCTCCTGGCTCACGCAATATATCTCCCTACCTAAAAAAAAGTGCAACACTCAGTGCATGTCCCAGCCCCATTCTCCCAGGCCTGGGAGTGGGAGGAGGGTAGAAGAGAGGGAAAGGAAAAGGAGTCAATACTGAATTACTTTGCTTTCTCCTATGGTGCCCTCTGCCCAAGCCAGAAGAAAGCAAAGGGGAGAAGGGCTGCAGGGTATATTTATTTTCACTTGAACATGGAAAGTGTCACACTCCCCCTTCCCTTTTAGGGTGAGTGTATTTTGGTCAGCAGCCTCTTCCCATCCACCCTGTGTATGCATATACACACACACACACAGCACAATTGGGAACAGTGACTAGGCTGAGTTCTCTTATGTTACTCCCTGGAAGAGGGTTTGACAAAGGGGAGAAAGGAAGGAGCCACACCAGGCAGCAGTTTCAAGCCTTGGAATGGAGAAAAGAAGGCAGAGAGGAGCAGCACCAGAGGCCAGGAGAAGTGGAAAGGGCCACAGCTTCCGATTCTTAAAAATTCTGTAATTTGGAAGAAGATAGTTATTAATTTCCAAAATACACTTCAGAATCCAACCTTCCATACAGCTCCCTTGCTCACAGCCCTTTGGTTTTTCAGACAAAACTGAAGAGCCCTCATAAAGCCAGAAGTATTGATAATCCCTCAATGCACCCCAAAGCACTGTTCACTTCAATCCCCTACAAAGACGGTGTCCTACAGACTGCATCTCCCTACACATTTGTCTTACGGCTCAGTGGTGAGGTGGTTGCAGACACACATTAGGGTAGGTGGGGATGGGGACCAGGGTAAGCCCAGGCACATGGGTGCAGAGAGGGCTGGGGAACACCACTTCCACGCTTTGTCTTTTCCTTTAAAAAAAAAAAAAAAAAAAAAAAGGCAGGGGTGTGATTGGTTGGAAGGGCAGAGAACAAACCCCAGAACAGTCCCCAGAGAAGTGAGAAGGGGAAAGGTCAGGGCAATGCTTGCAGCATCAAGTTCCTCAGGAGTTTCTGTCGGCCCAGCTCATAGTCCTCCTCATCCACATTCACCAGCAGCTTGATGGCTTCATGCCCCACAGCTTGCTTCAGCGAGTCTGTGATGAAGACACCTTTAAGTGCCTCTAGTAATGAGCCATTGATGTAGTCGCGCCAGAATGCGTCGAGGTAGGTGAGCTCAGAGAACTTGATGTCACAGATGATGGAGCCCAGGTCCCGGGACTTGAGGATGGTGTTGGCCTGGCTAAAGCGCTCAAACTGGCGCTCAAGTGGGTCCTGCTTGTTGGAGAAGACGTTGCCTTGCAGAGCAGTGTCATGCTGGCAGTATTCAGCCCGAACCCGCAGTCTGATGTCTGTGGGACAGAAAGACGGAGCAAAAGGTATTACAGTGAGGAATAAGTTACAACCCAACTTTGAAAGCTAAAAAGAGCACACTAACAAAGGAGAGAACATACAGCTCTCTGAAATCCTTGGCTAAATGCAAGACATCTCCTTACATGGGACATGCCCAAGCAAATGTTATTCCTATCACAAAAAACCAGAAATCTTGCAGACCTGGGAGATAGCTCAGTTGAATAAGAGCTTGCCTGGCATGCACAGCATCCTGAGTTCAATCCCTGGGACTGCAAAAAAAAAAAAACAAAAACCCAAAAAAAAAAAAAAACAAACAGAACCTTGCTTATAAGAGATAGCTTCCTAATCAAAGACATCACAGTTCATTTTGTTTTATTTATTTATTTTTTTTTTGCGGAACCAGGGATCAAACTCAGGCCCTTGCGCTTACCAGGGAAGCGCTTATTCTACTGAGCCATCTCCCCGGCCCCCCCTCTGAGTATTAACTCCAAAGAGCTGAAATGTATGCTGCCATTGAGGATGAAGAGTTCTCCTGGAGACTGAACCATTTAACCTCCCTTTGCAACAGTAATCAGTATGAGCTTTGCACCAAATAACATGAACTTCCCAGGATCTCAACAGTTTTCCCTCAAGCCTACTTCATCTCTGGAATCCATGAACTTCCTCACCACAAGTCTGTTTTTCCTTGGGATCTGGTGTTACTGACTTCCGGCGTTTCCGCTGGCTCCCAAGTGTGGTTCTCCCTCGGGTTGGCCGCTTGCTACACATCTGAGGACCCGAAGTGGGGCAGCACACCACAGGATAATGGGGAGGCACTAACCAGAAAGTAGAAAGAAAATACAGTAAGGTAAAGGCAGAAATTCAAACACTCTCCTGGGAATGTGGAGGGAATCACTGAGACTTAGTACTGACAATACTGTCAGTACCATGACCTGAAAGGACACAATATAAGAGCAACAGGGCACAGATGAAGCATTCATACCTCACCTGATTGTTTTATGATTAGATGTGAGGAGACAGCTTCCTTTCATGTAAGCTGGCAAAACCAGGAATGTGATGGGGTCAGTGTCCTCTTGCTTAATTATGCAAATTAGGAGTAGTATCTTCTCACCTGTTTTAGGGGGCTGGGGAGGCCTCGGTTCTGAATCACTGAGGGTTCTTGGGGTCACATAACGAATTGACGTCTCCTCCAGATACTTGTCTACAAGGTCAGGGCACACTGTAGGAGGGAGAAAAGTCATTCAGGGGAAAGTACACCCTTCACTTGTTCCGGCAGGCCTCGAGATTTTTTTATATTTTTTGTACTTAGTATAGGGTCTACAAGGTCTCACTACACAGCTGGGACTCGGTGATCCTCCTGTTTTCAACCTACCAAGCCCTATGATTACAGGCACATGCCACCACATCCAGTCTCAGTCACTGTCTCAGCACACCCAAGGCATGGGGCCAGCATGGAATGCCGCTGGGGATCGAACTCTGGTCTCTGTGCCTACCTAAGTAGGCACTTTAGTCCACTGAGCTATCTGGCCAGGCCTCAAGATTTATTCTAGGCACTCCCAAAGGTCAAACCCTCCTCCAGCCTGAACTCCTATGATGCTCACTCCAGGCTTCCCAGAACTACTCCCTGATTCCAGCAAGCCCAGCCACCCAAAAACCCTCACCAGCCCTTCTCCTCTTGAGGGTGACGTAGGGCAGCAGGTCATGGCGAGTGATGATGCGTAGTAGCTGCAGCACCTGGCGAAAGTTACTCTCATCACAGCGGCCCTGGCGCTCCAGAGCCAGTAAGAAGTCACGTCCATTTCTGATGAGTCCACGCTCATGGTCATCAATAACATCAACAAAGAGGAAGGAAAGCACACGCACATCTCTGTGTGTTAGGTGGGTGCCCACGATGTCAAACATGCGGTGCAGGCTGTACAGCCCATGTTCTTGCTCTCCATGCTCTTCTGGCCACACCTGGCTTGCCTGCCGCTTTATCCCCGCCATGCTGGGGGCTCAGGAACACAACGCTTTCCAGAATCTCTGCTCAGCAGCTATAATCCCCAGTGCGCTGTGAGGATAGGGCAACAACCTATGAGTCATACAATGACAGGAACCAGTTTTATTCATCCTACTGCCTAACATGATACCTGGTACAGATTACTGCTTAATGTATATTTATTAAATGTTTTTAAAGTGTTTGTTAAATAAGGCCTACCAAAAAAAAGCCTACAAAATCTATACCCCCCCCCCAAAAAAAAATCTATACCCAACAAATGATACCCTCTGTCCAGATTCTTTTTCTTTGGCGGAACTGGGGATTGAACTCAGGCCCTTGCACTTGCCAGGAAAGCACTTATTCTACTGAGCCATCTCCCCAGCCCACTCTGTCCAGATTCTACTGAAGAAATACAATCACTTTTGAAATGAGAATGTTGTCTCAACTTTAGCACTGCTTACTCAGCAAAAGTTGTTAGATATTATTCCTCCTGCTCCCATAACAATGCTTTCCTTTCTTGAAAACCTAAAACGTTGCCTTCTTTCCTCCTCAGTTCACTTCATTTCTTGTTTGTTTTTAATAGAGTACCACTATGTAGCCCAAGCTGGTCTTGAACTTGTGAGCCTCATGCCTCAGCCTTTTAAGTGCTGAGATTACATGGTGTACTACCACACTTGAATTTCAAAATAGGGAATTCCCTCTTAATCAATATGAAAGGTGAGGTGTATTACATGTACTCAGGAATTAACAATAAGAAAAGTGAAAAACTTCAATTACAACTAGTTTATATCATTAACAAGTTATGGGGCCAGCCAGATAGCTCTCAGCAGATTAAAGTGCCCTGCGTAGGCAGACACAGGGACCAGGGTTTGGTTCCCCCAAAACCCATTTGCTGTGCCCACCCTGCCCCTGGGGCACGCTGAGCCGGAACTGACACTGGGCAGGGTGGCACACGCCTATAATCCCAGCACTTGGGAAGTTTGAAAACAGGAGAATCACTGAGTCTAATCTGTGTAGTGAGACCCTGTACTAAATACATTAAAAAAAAAAAAAAAGTTGTAGAGCAATGTGATATACTCCTACCTAGTACTAGAAATTAAACCTAGGATCTTTATACTGATCTACATCCCCAGGCATTTTTAGTTTTGTTTTTGTTTTTTACTTTATTTATTTATTTTTTTGGCGGAACCGGGGATTGAACTCAGGCCTTTGCACTTGCCAGGGAAGTGCTTATTCTACTGAGCCATCTCCTCAGCCCCTTCGCCATTCTTACTTTAAGACAGGGTGTCACTAAATCTACACATTGACCAGGCTTGGCTCTAACTTTCGATCCTCCTGCTTAAATTGTAGGCGTGCACTACCACACCTGGCAGTTGTATAACTTTAGGCAAGTCACTGACTTCAAAGCCTCTGCCCTCATCTACAAAACAGGGATTGAAAAAATAATCCAGTGAGAAAATGGACACACATATTACTATTTTTGGACACTTCACTTGATTCAAGTACCCCCCCAAAGCATACGTACACACACTACTTTGTAAACCTTATATAAATGGTCATGAAATAAGACATTCACGATGTAAGCACCAGGCACAGCAACACATGCCTATTATCACAGCACACAGGAGGCTGAGGCAGGAGGATTACTGTGAGTTCAAGAGCAGCCTAGGCTAAAAAATGAGTTTAAGGCCAGCCTGAACTACAGAGCAAAATCCTATTTCAAAAAGAAAAAAAAGAAAAAAAAAAAAAAAAAAAGAAAGAAAGAAAGAAA